ACTGGATCAACAGACTTAAATCTTAGAATCTTAGTTGTTGTAATATCACTGACAAATCATTGGCTTTGCTGTCATTAGTTTGGCTTAAGGAGTATGTCAAGGCTGTATATTGTCACCCTGCTTATTTAACTTATATGCAGAGTACATCATGAGAAAAGCTGGACTGGAAGAATCACAAGCTGGAATCAACATTGATAGGAGAAATATCAATAACTTCAGATATGCAGATGACACCACCCTTAAGGCAGAAAGTGAAGAGGAACTAAAAAGCCTCTTGATGAAAGTGAAAGAGGAGAGTGAAAAAGTTGGCTTAAAGCTCAACATTCAGAAAACTAGGATCATGGCATCTGGTCCCATCACTTCATGGGAATTAGATGGGGAAACAGTGGAAACAGTGCCAGACTTTATTTGGGGGGGCTCCAAAATCACTGCAGATGGTGATTGCAGCCATGAAATTAAAAAGGATGAGATGGCTGAATGGCATCACTGACTCGATGGACATGAGTTTGGGTAAACTCCAGGAGCTGGTGATGGACAGGGAGGCCTGGCGTGCTGCAATTCATGGGGTCGCAAAGAGTCAGACACGACTGAGTGACTGAACTGAACTGAACTGATGTGCCCCTTCTTTTACAAAACATTGTAGCCAGGGGAATGGATTTCTCATTGACACAGCCCTGGTCACATCATCCCTGTAGCTAGGAGATGAAGGAAATCTCACTTTCATTACATGGAATGAAGATGTATAGGAAGGTGGTTCCTCCAAAAAAAGGAAATAAATAGATAAATAACATACATAAAGACAGAGTTTTTATCAGAAGGAGAAAATGAATTGTTTGATTGGAAAAACTAATGATGTCCATCAAATAAGTTGGTAATTATAAGTTTTTACATTCTACTTCACCCTTTCTATTCTCCACATCAGCCAGAATGATGTTTGTATCATGTAAATGTCCTGCATCAAATCCTCAATTATGATTTGAAAGTGCAACATCCATATTTGTCAACATGGTCCATAGGCCTTGAATAGTTTAACCTTTTTTCCTTCTCCAATCTTGTCTCATGCCATTGTTCTTCTGAATAGCACCTGAATCTTTTTTTTTTTAATTAGTTGGAGGCTAATTACTTTACAATATTGTAGTGGTTTTTTGCCATACATTGACATGAATCAGCCATGGATTTACATGTGTTCCCCATCCCAATTCCCCCTCCCACCTCCCTCCCCATCCCATCCCTCTGGGTCTTCCCAGTGCACCAGCCCTGACCACTTGTCTCATGCATCCAACTTGGGCTGGTGATCTGTTTCACCCTTGATAGTATACTTTTTCAATGCTATTCTCTCAGAACATCCCACCCTCGCCTTCTCTCACAGAGTCCAAAAGTCTCTTCTGTACATCTGTGTCTCTTTTTCTGTTTTGCACATAGGGTTATCATTACCATCTTTTTAAATTCCATATATATGTGTTAGTATACTGTATTGGTCTGTATTGGTCTTTCTGGATTACTTCACTCTGTATAATGGGCTCCAATTTCATCCATCTCATTAGAACTGATTCAAATGAATTCTTTTTAATGGCTGAGTAATATTGCATAGTGTGTATGTACCATAGCTTCCTTATCCATTCATCTGCTGATAGGTATCTAGGTTGCTTCCATGTCCTGGCTATTACAAACAGTGCTGTGATGAACATTGGGGTGCATGTGTCTCTTTCAGATCTGGTTTCCTCGGTGTGTATGCCCAAGAGTTGGATTGCTGGGTCATATGGCAGTTCTATTTCCAGTTTTTTAAGGAATCTCCACACTGTTCTCCATAGCGGCTGTACTAGTTTGCATTCCCACCAACAGTGTAAGAGGGTTCCCTTTTCTCCACACCCTCTCCAGCATTTATTGCTTGTAGACTTTTGGATAGCAGCCATCCTGACTGGCGTGTAATGGTACCTCATTGTGGTTTTGATTTGCATTTCTCTGATAATGAGTGATGTTGAGCATCTTTTCATGTGTTTGTTAGCCATCTGTATGTCTTCCTTGGAGAAATGTCTGTTTAGTTCTTTGGCCCATTTTTTGATTGGGTCATTTATTTTTCTGGAGTTGAGCTGGAGGAGTTGCTTGTATATTTTTGAGATTAATCCTTTGTCTGTTGCTTCGTTTGCTATTATTTTCTCCCAATCTGAGGGCTGTCTTTTCACCTTGCTTATAGTTTCCTTTGTTGTGCAAAAGCTTTTAAGTTTCATTAGGTCCCATTTGTTTATTTTTGCTTTTATTTCTAAAATTCTGGGATGTGGGTCATAGAGGATCCTGCTGTGATTTATGTCGGAGAGTGTTTTGCCTATGTTCTCCTCTAGGAGTTTTATAGTTTCTGGTCTTACATTTAGATCTTTAATCCATTTTGAGTTTATTTTTGTGTATGGTGTTAGAAAGTGTTCTAGTTTCATTCTTTTACAGGTGGTTGACCAGTTTTCCCAGCACCACTTGTTAAAGAGGTTGTCTTTTTTCCATTGTATATCCTTGCCTCCTTTGTCGAAGATAAGGTGACCATAGGTTCGTGGATTTATCTCTGGGCTTTCTATTCTGTTCCATTGATCTATATTTCTGTCTTTGTGCCAGTACCATACTGTCTTGATGACTGTGGCTTTGTAGTAGAGTCTGAAGTCAGGCAGGTTGATTCCTCCAGTTCCATTCTTCTTTCTCAAGATTACTTTGGCTATTCGAGGTTTTTTGTATTTCCATACAAATTGTGAAATTATTTGTTCTAGTTCTGTGAAAAATACCATTGGTAGCTTGATAGGGATTGCACTGAATCTATAGATTACTTTGGGTGGTATACTCATTTTCACTATATTGATTCTTCCAGCCCATGAACATGGTATATTTCTCTATCCATTTGTGTCCTCTTTGATTTCTTTCTTCAGTGTTTTATAGTTTTCTATATATAGGTCTTTTGTTTCTTTAGGTAGATATATTCCTAAGTATTTTATTCTTTTCATTGCAGTGGTGAATGGTATTGTTTCCTTAATTTCTTTCTATTTTCTCATTGTTAGTGTATAGGAATGCAAGGGATTTCTGTGTGTTAATTTTATATCTTGCAACATTACTGTATTCATTGATTAGCTCTGGTAATTTTCTGGTAGAGTCTTTAGGCTTTTCTATGTAGAGGATAATGTCATCTGCAAACAGTGAGAGCTTTACTTCTTCTTTTCCTGTCTGTATTCATTTTATTTCTTTTTCTGCTCTGATTGCTGTGGCCAACACTTCCAAAACTTTGTTAAATAGTAGTGCACCTGAATCTTTTTAAGGTTTTTGAAAATGCACACTCAGTCCTGCTTCAGGAGTTTTCATACTCCTTCTCTTTTGCTTAGACAGCTAGTATTCTCCTTCCTCATTTAACCTACCTTAATCCCTGCTCTCCTACATGCCCTCCTCATGTGCACACATGCACTCGCCTGGCTAAGAGCTACTCATTTTTCTAGCGTCAGTTCAAATGAACTGCTTGAGCACCACCTCATAGATCTCATAGATAGCACTTATTTTCTTCCAAATATTACCATATTTACCACATCTATCAGTGTGTGTGTGTGTGTGTGTGTGTGTGTGTTTGATTTTGCTGTTTTTCTTATAAAATGTAAGATCTCAAAGGTGAAATGAAGAGTTTTAGATTCATCACTAACACCAAGATATCTGACGTCTCACAGAGAGTAAATATAAATGAATAAATGTTTCTTGAAAATATAAAAATGAATAAATAGATATGGAGTATAATTTCATTTGAATGTGAGATGTTAAGAGTTTGGAACTTCTGGTGTCAAAGAGAATGGCAAGATGAAGGAAGATATGAGAAAATTTCAAGAAGGTCAACTCAACATAGTATACTGACCTGAGTTACTACTTTTTTTTTTTTTGGCTTTTATTCTTTGATTAAATTTGAAAGCATTTTTATTCCTTGATTAAATTTGAAAGAATTTAATTTAGATTTTATAAAGACAGAATATAGTCAATGGTTTGTGTTTATGGCAAAGTAACTAGTAACAGAAAGAAATTAAAGATTTTTAAAATTTAAAAATATTTCAGAAAATGATCAAAACTTTATTATTTACATTTAAAATCCACATACTTCCAAGAGATATTTGAAGTTTCAAGAAAATATATTTCCACTAGGTTACAAGTTTCCAAAGGGTCCTATCATTTGATATATAATGATTTTATCAAAATGTGACCTAGATGAGTTCATTCTACACTTTTTTGAGATTATGAGCTTTATGAGTTGCTTACTAAATTTCACTTTTTGAATAAAGGCCAACCAAACTATTATTTTGATTTCATTTATCACTGGAAAGCTTAAATGTCAAAATAAATTAAAGAAAATTTTGATGTTATTGAATAAGAAAAGTATATCTCACACTCTATACATAGTATTTCCAGAAATTGAATCCTACAGAAGTTTCTTAGCAAAATATTAATTTTAATTCTAGTAAAGATAATGCTTCTCAATGAATATATTCTCAATAATACTGATTAAAAAACAATTAATCCATGAAATGTGTAAAGTCACTGTTATATAAAAGATAAAGCAAAATTTTACCTTATTCCTAATGGTATAAAATAAAAAAAGGCACAAACAGAATTGTGGGAGTTGATTTAACATGTTTTTAAAACTCTCTAACATTTTAAAAAGTCAAATTTAAAATTATACTCATGAAAGTTTTCATTCATAAGAATACAGTCAATTGAATTGCACTCCAGTCTATTAACTGCTGTAGAAAATTTTATAGCAAATGTAATGTATATCTAAGGTATCAATTTAACTTATGGGAATATTAGCTGAAATTATGAAAACTTTGCAAACTATACATGCATGTAAAAAGTAGACTTTTAGGTTAGCTTATTTATTTATTTAGATTAATAATATTTAAATATGAACTTGAACCAGTATGCAACAATTTATATATATTTAAGAGTATGTATATTTTTGCATTTGTCATTTCATGACAATTTTCTTTTTCTTTCAGACTCTTGAAATACTGACTGGAAGATAGACATTTCCTTTCCAGCTGATTGTATGGGAGAAATTTTGACCTTAGAAAGTGGAAATGAGGTTGCTATGGAAACTGGTAATTCTGATGTCACTCATAAACATTTCCGCAGGTAAAGTGTTCTATTATTATGAGTTCTGATTGATAATCTATTGGCATTTTATTTTTTCTACAGGTGAAGCAATTTTCAAATACATAATATAGGGTTGGCAAAAAAGTTTTTTCATGTTTTCCCATAACATCTTACAGAAAAACCCAAAAGAACTTTTTGTCCAATCTAATACTTACATTATTTAAGTGACTAAATGATAAAATTTTGAAGGTAACCTCTATGGTTAATATAAAGTTTAATCCTTAAAAAATTAAATCAAATGCCATTTTTAAACAGAACAAAGATGATTTCAGTTATAAATTGTCACCTATGAAATTTTTATAGTAAAAGGATGTGATTAAGTAAATTTTGTCATCAATAAACAATGAAAAATATTTTTTTTTGTTTCTTTCCTTTAGAGTGGTCTTAAAAAATGAATAAGAAATATATATATTTTCCTCAAATGTCGAATCTGGTATGGATTAAAGGCTATATCAGTATAGAAGAAAAGGTAACATAGAATGTCAAATCAGAAGTAGTGTTTAATGTTTAGTTTTTTTTCTACCCATTTCAATGATACATTCTTTCATTCACCCTAACTATGAAGTCTGTGTGTCAGTTAGCTTTTGTCATGCAACAAACCGTCACAAATCTGAATGGATGAAAATAATAAATAACCATGTATTTAGTTGAAAAGTCTACAGATGGGCAATTTTAAGTGGGCTCAACTGGGCTATTCTTTTGACTTTGCCCGAGTGCTATACATCTGTGGTTAACCTACTGTGTCATCTGGGATCTGGCTAGTCTGGTAATAGAGACCACTGGGCTGTCTCTGCCCCAGGCCAAGTGTTCACTCATCCTCTCTAAGTCTGAGGTCCTTCATACATTGTCTGCTCAAAACTCCAAGAGAAATCAGAAGTGTGCAAGATTTTTTAATGTTAAAACTTGCAACTGACACAATGCCATTTCTGCTGCATTCTTTTAACCATTCCCAGTCAAACTATCAGTCCAGACTCAAGAAATATAAAAATATACTCCATCTTTTGATAGAAAAACCACAAAATTACACTGCAAAGGGGCATGGAAACAGTGAAGTAGATAACTTTGGATGTAATCAACCATAGTTTTATTAAGAACACAGAATTCTATTCTGAATTTTCAAGCTTACCTATGTGAGTCGCCACACAGCATGGACACTTTCTCAGTCATCTAATTGTCAGAGCAACTCTTCTATAAAAATATACTGTTTCCCAGCAACTGTAGCAGTGGGTACTACTGAAGTTTCCCATATTCATAACAAAGCCCTAATATTTTAGGAGAAACATAGGAACAAAAATAGTAACACAAGTCAGAAACATGGTAATTGTGAGAGGTGAATATTCAAAGACAATTCTAAGAAGTGGAAACATTTCTGATTTTAAAAAGTATGAAAAGGTTAAAATATGCAAAACACAACCATTAGAATCAGAGAAACATGCAAATAAAGATATTTTTACTACTAGAGAATACAATGGCCAGAAGTGCTATCATTGTATTTATTCCAAGTTATTACATTATTTTGATTCATAGCATTTCTAATTCTCTGTAACAAAGAATCAGAGTTAAATAATATCTTTTGTAATAGATGAAAATACCAGAGTCATCAAGGTGCCCCCAAATTATACATATGTGAATAAAAATTATATTCTTATCCTCCAGTTTCAGTTTCCTGTCAAAATTTAACATTAATATTTTACCCTTTAAATATCTATACTGAATCAGCATAGTATATCTAGAAGACCTTTTATGTGAAATTAAAATAAATTATTATTCTCAGAGCATGAATCATCTGAGAGATCTTCCAGTTCTTCTGTTATGTTTTATTTTTCCAAGTTGGATGTGACTCAACATGTCCTTTTGCTTTATCCTAAAGGGAAAAATAATCATGTGTCCTTGGTGTACAATTTTCTTGTGAAAGAACAGATTGTATCTTTTTTTAAACCACAGCTATTTAAATAAGATAATCTGAGCTAAACATTGCCACAGAGGTAAGAATGCTGACAGTCATATACACAAGAGGGCTTTGCTTTAAATCTGTTTGTTTTGTTTTATTTTAAAATTTCATGGTGTATCTCCCTACTTGCAGATACTATATACTATGTTAGTTTAGAAAATTCAGTTCTCTAATGATGCAGTGTTATTTCTACAAACACACACACACACAGTCACACACATATAATAACTTTTTTGTTTTCCAAAAATTGATTTTGATTCATTCTGAAAGAGCAGCAAATCTTTCACAATTATGTGCTTTTTCCATCCTATTTTTCTGTTACAATCTTTTCAAAACACTGACTTTTTAAATCTCTCCAAACTCTAAACTAAAATTAAAAATTTTACCCTTATCTCTTCTCCTATTTGTTGTTGTTGTTAATTAACTGTATCTAACCCCATTACTATGGACATTGGCTATGGACATTTAAATTTTTATGATGAACCATAATCTACCCAGGTGTACACTATGGTTCTGGAAAATTTTTGAAAATATGGGTATTTAAAAGTTCTAGTATTCTATTTTAGTATTCTTTTTAATATTATGAGACAACCATTTAATTCAGAAACATGATTGCTAATTACATGTGAAAGTCACTCAGTCATATCTGACTCATTATAACTGCACGGACTATACAGTCCATGGAATTCTCTAGGCCAGAATATCGAAGTGGGTAGCCATTCACTTCAGGGAATCTTCTCAACTCAGGGATTGAATTCAGGTCTCCCACATTGCAGATGGATTCTTTACCAGCTGAGACATCAGGGTTTTTAATCACTTCATTAATGTGTGTGGTCGACTAAATAATTGTCCTCATGGATATCTAGTACCTAGTATTTGAAACTTGTGACTTTCACATTAAGTAACAAAATGGATTTTGCAGATGGAATTAAGTTAAAGATCTTGAGATGGATAGACTATCCTGGAATAACTATGTAGGAAATCACAAATGCTCCTGTAAGATGGTGACAAAGGGAATTTGGCACAGAGCAGAAGGCAATAAGATGAAAGAGGAGAAAGAGACATGAGATCTTTGCTACCAACCTTAAGTATATATAGGAAGGGACCATGAGCCAAGAAACGAAGCTCGAGAAGCTAGAAAGGCAAGGGAACAGGTATTTTCTCTTTGAAGAAAAAATACATTGGTCTCCATCCTATGAAATCCATTTTGGACTTGGGACTTCCAGAAATGTGAGAAAATAAATGTGTGTTGTTCTAAGTCACCAAGTTGTAATTTTTAGAGAACCCATATGAAACTAATGTAATATGTTTCTTCCTCACTAAACTTTAAGCTCCAGAAGAGCTGGGCCTGTATGTTCCTGGCATGTGGTAGGGATTCAGTAAATAGTGTTAGATGAACAAATGAATGAATTAGATTCAATGTTATTGGTCCTATTTGGATTATCATCAAGTAGAAAAAATTAAGTCATGAATGTTCCCATGTTTTGATGTCTTGTCATAGAATTTTAGAGATGGAACTCTAGCAACACTTGAAAGTTTCAAACTATGCCCTATTTGAATATAAACTTCATGAGAGGAAGTTTACATGAAGATGAAACATATGAAGATATGTTTCATACTCTGCTGTTTCTCCACCACCTAACAGATGGTTTGCAAATATTTATCAAATTAATTAAATAAAGCAGTTCTACTCCACTCAATTCAACAGATAGTTTAGATATGCCAGGCACTGAACTAGATGTTGACTTTCACCAGTAAAAGAGGGCCACGGTCTCTGTCTTCTTCAGCATTCAGCCTAAAAATGGAACTCAGCAAGTCAGTCAATAATTTCATTAGAGAAAGTATAGCTTGCTATTTGAATATCATAGTAGAGAGCATATAACATGGAAATGTTCTAAGAGGACATCTGCTGTTTTTGTCAACCTTCAATCCATTTCTGCTTCCTCTAAAAAAAATATATTAGATTTTCCTTAGCAATCCACTATTTTCTAACAGTCTTTGTAGTTGGAATGAGAGTACATAACTTCATAGTCAGCCAATTGGTATATCCCATCCTCATTCACCATAGTATTTGGTTCAGGAAATATTATATCTGAACAAATACCTGGGCATTTGCTAAAATGAAATGACATAAAGTCATCACATTTGTGCTGTTCTAGTTAACCCATTAGAAAAGACCCTGATGCTGGGAAAGATTGAAGGCAAAAGGAGAAGGGGGTGGTGGAGGTTGAAACAGATAGCATCACGGGCACAATGAATATGAATTTGAGCAAATTCAGGGCTATAGTAGAAGACAGAGAATAATGGCATGCTACAGTCCATGGGGTCACAGAGTTGGACACAACTTAGCGACTGCACAGCAAGGACAGTTAATACAGAGATGTACCAGGGACTGCTCTGACAGAAAAACTGGCCTAGAAATGAAATTCACACAGATGCTGAACAAACCAAGGGAATAAAGGAACCATTTCTTAATTTTACCTTTGAAACTTTAAGCACCAGGTGTCTTTTTCCTATTTTATGCTAAGTTCCATTGAAATTCTGTCCCTTAATGAAAAGAATCTCTGATAAGGTCAAAATTGTTTTTAATGTAAATTAGTGATGATAAGTGAAGTTTTATTAGCAATAGAAATTCTTTGGGGATTAATGCCTACTCCCTGCTGAGAATGAGGAACAGAGCAAATATAAAGATGAAGAAAAGGCACAATTTTTTTCCTGGAGAATAAAAAGAATCAAGAGGCTTTATATGGACTCAAGGCAAACCATTCAATATCACAGTAATCCAAGTCTATGCCCCAACCACTAATGTCAAAGAACCTGAAATTGAAAAGTTCTATGAAGACCTACAAGATCATCTAAAACTAACACCCCCAAAAGATATGATTTTCATCATAGGGGACTGGAATGCAAAAGTAGGAAGTCAAGAGATACCTGGAATTACAGGCAAATTTGGGCTTGGAGTACAGAATGAAGCAGAGCAAAAGTTAACAGAGTTTTGCCAAGAGAGCGCACTAGTCATAATGAAAAC